CCATTGGCCTTGGAGAATGGTATTGGTATTGACTCAGTTATTTGCCAGCTGTTGCCGTATGATGGCGCTAGTAGAGCGCTAGTGTTATACGCTCTGCTAGCGCCACCATGCGGCGCCAGTTGGCTAAAAATCTGTTCAATATCACGGCTTCTGGAGAATGCCTTAGATTCATTTCATACAGATAGAAATAATTTCAAAGCTGATTGAGTTATGAAATGCATTTAAATATCAAACCAAGGCCATGGGTATCAGACATGAACTGCGACTTCCGGTGGGCACAGTGACTTTGGTAATTGGTATGTCAATGTCTTTGAAAAGGCAGGTAAGATTTGCAACTGGTCAGCCTTGCTTCAATTGGATTTGTGTCCATTATAAATGGATTTCAGTCATACTTACCTACATATGTTATTGGTATTCGATTTCTAGAGCCCAAAATATTGTTGGGTGTGTACAGCAAACTGAATGGAAGTGATGTGTACAAACATTGAAGTACCTATTTTCTGGACTGCTTGCAGTTAGAACTTGTTTGCTTTGTTGTAGGTGACAAGATAAGAAATTGAAGCAAGACTGACCAGTGACCAGTATGCTACAGAATAGGTAGCCCAATCTGCAGGAATATTAGAATTCAAAAGTGGAATTGGGACTTAGGAACTGGAAACTGCATCAACCATGTTTGCCAAAGTAGTTACCTATGTACCTAGTCCTACTAGGTAGCTGCTTGAATCTTTGGTCAAGGCTACTATGCCGCTTAATACAATTGTGGTATGCGACATATTCATCTTATCATATAGCTTTGAGTCAAATAATCAACAAATGCCTATAGTGAGTCATGGGTTGAATGAAATAAGTTCAATAAAAATGTCGTGTGAGTCATGAGTTGATTTGAATCGATTCATCAAAATGTGTGAGTCATGAGTTGATTCGAATCATTCCGTTGGCTAGTTGCTCGAGTCATGAGTTGATTCGAATTATTTTATCGAGGAACTTGATGAGTCATGAGTTGATTCGAATCAATTAAATTTAACATCATGAGTCGTTTGATGAATCGATTCAAATTTCCAGACTCAAACAAAGAATCGACTCAAAAAAATTGAGTCGTTACAAGTCTGATGGTGGCGGCATCCACCCCTTCTTCTCGGCCGGCGAGGGTTAAACCTCGCTTCGAATTATTGCAGATAATGATGTGACCAAAAGCAAAGCATTATTCTGTGTCTAGAACGGCCGCTGACTTGTTGGACAAGATCCCCAATCTTAATTCGCTAGATGGGAATAAAATACTCGGTATGTGATACATATAGTTATACCCCTCGATTTGCCCTCGCGCTAAGTCTATTCTAATCATCACTGTCGCTTTTTTATCCGAGATGATGTCGCCGCTAAACGGGTTGTTTTGTTTGCTTGCTTGCGCTGAATGGCCATTACAGATTATTGAAGGATTATGATAAAACAGGAATGGGGCAAGGGAGGATATGCACTGCAGGTGTTTAATTTAGATCACAAAGGCATCATTTCCGACATTGTGTAGAGTCATTATCTTCCCCTCCTCTGCACTGCGGCATCTCTGCGCCCCACACACGGCGTCCTCACTCCACGGCCGGCCGCCGCCAACTGACCCACTCGCCGGGCGCCGCGACCTGACCCGTGTCGCTGCCGCGGCCTGCGCAATAGAGTCGGGGCTGGAATCCGGGGGTTCGGCCGGCCGGCCGCCTCTGGAGCGGGGGACTTTTTTAGTAGACCTACTGTACAACAGGTTTACGCGATAACTGTATGTTTTGATATGCATGATTAACGGATGCATTAGTTTGGGTGTAGAAACTTGCATATTTATTGGTATATTATTTGTGTAGAACTGGGTAACTGCTTTTAATTGAACTGTAAAGCATGATGGTAATGCATGCGAGTTGTTCGAGCCCTTTGTAAGAATTAGGATGTTACTCAATTCAACCCTACCCTACCCTACCATACCCTACCCTACCCCTACCCCTAGGCCTACCCCTACACTACCCTACCCTTCCCTACCCTACCCTTCCCTACCCGTACCCTACCCTTACACTACCCTACCCTACCCTACCCTACCTTACCCCTAACCCTACACTACCCTACCCTACCCCTACCCTACCCTACCCTTACACTACCCTACCCTACCCTTACCCTACCCTACCCCCACCCTACCCTACCCTACCCTGCCCTACGCTACCCTACCCTACCCCTACCCCTACACTGCCCTAACCTACCCTACCCTACCCTACCCTACCCTGCCCCTACCCTACCCTACCCTACCCTACCAAACCCTACCCCTAGTCCCTACCCTACCCTAGTCCCTACCCACCCCTATCCCTACCCTACCACTATCCTACCCTACCTACCCTACCCTACCCTTACACTACCCTACCCTACCCTACCCTACCCTTACCTTACCCTACCCTACCCTACCCCTACCCCTACACTACCCTAACCTACCCTACCCTACCCTACCCTACCCCCCTACCCTACCCTACCCTTACACTACACTACCCTACCCTACCCTACCCTACCCCTACCCTACCCCTAACCCTACCCTACCCTACCCCTACCCTACCCTACCCTACCCTACCCTACCCTACCCTACCCTACCCTACACTACACTACACTACACTACCACTGACAGTCCAAGTTTCAGCTAACTCGGCCCAGAAACGGCTGAGTTATTGCAAAAACAAATTAATTGTATTTACTGGCGAATCCTCTTGGCGAGCGGTGCCTTGTGTCGGCCTTCGTTGTCAAAGGTCAACGACCTCCCGGCTCTGATGCTTTTCACTCAGTTTTTTAAGCGAACAACTGAGCCTACCGCGCGTGCTCTCTGCTCGGCGCCGGCCTCGGCCAGCCTGCGGCAGAGATGCACGCGCTGAACGAAAATTCGTTCTGATGGATAGGGAGGATTATAAGGATAAAGTTGAGACGATTTTAAATGACAATGAGAGTTATGAAAAGTTGCCGAAAAATCCAGTTCCGCAGGTGGAAGCGAAGACTAAACAGGTATTCAAGGCGGTAGCTAAAGATAAACTTTCAGAGAAAAACGTGGAAGATCTAACGCCCATGCATAGCAGAACTCCAGTTTTTTACGGCCTTCCTAAAGACCATAAGCCCGAAGTTCCATTGCGCCCAGTAGTTTCAGGCTCGGGTGGGCCTACCGAAAAGACAGCTTGCCTTCTCGAGAGAATATTAAAGCAGCTTTTAGCGTTCATTCCAACTCATCTCTGTGACACTAACGATTTTTTGAAAAGAATGAATGATCACTGTCAAAGACAGTCACTTCCGACAGGGTCCATCTTCTTCAGTATAGATGTAGTAAATCTGTATGGGAGCATACCTGTAGAGGAGGCCATTCAAGCAGCCAAAGAAAAGTTAGAAGCTCACGCGGGGGGGATTGAAACATTTGGTCTAAGCAAGGAGGACATATGTGCTCTACTGGATCAATGCCTACACAACAATGTCTTCTCGTTTGGAGATGCCTTCTTCAGGCAAAAGCAGGGCATCGCTATGGGCAACCCGTGCGCTCCGCCTTTAGCAGTCATCTTCTTAGACAAGTTTGAACAACAAGCTCTGACAGGTGCGGCGCTCAAACCAGACTTTTTGGTTAGATACATAGATGATTTTGCCGGAATATGGAATCATGGAGAGGAGGAGCTGTTCAACTTTCTGACGTAGCTCAATGGCTTGCACCCAAAGTTGAAATTCACCCTAGATCACTCAAAAAAACGGAAAAGGGGTCCCTTTCTTAGACACCTATGTAACGGTAGAGTCGAATGGAAACCAGACAGCTTAAGTAGAGACAGAACTGTACATAAAACCGACGAATTCGGGCATTGTCTTGCATGCCACTTCGGCACATCCCACCTCAACAAAACACAACATGATCAGGGGCATGTTTCGCAGGGCGCTGAACCTTTCCTCTAGCAAAGCTAAGGGAGCCTCCAGTGTGGAAAAGATCCGTCTTTTACTGGTAAAAAATGGTTATTCACGTAATCTACTCAAGAGGCTCCTCAGAGAGGTACAAAACGACAAACGGACAAAACAAAAACGTGGGAACACACAGAAGGCGGGGGATGACGGTTATTTGACTTTGCCATACATCGATGAGCATTTACTGTGCAAAGTGAACAGCATTATTAAGAAATCCGGACTCAATGTAAAGCTGGCTTGGCGAAATGATATGAAGTTAAAAAAAACGTTTAGTTCGTTCAGCATTTAGCAAACCTCGTTGTCCAGGGGGAAATAGGTGTAATTTGTGCAAGAGTGGGTTCACAGGCCAGTGTACACAAAAGAATGTAGTCTACATGTTAACATGTAAACTGTGTGGTGCAGGAACGACCAGTGCACAGTACATAGGAGAAACGAAACGCCCGATACGGCTTAGGTACAATGAACATGTGAGAGACGCCATTGGCAACAAACCAGACACCCCTATGGGTGATCACTTTGGAAATGTTCACCCAGATGCCAGGGACATTCCTTATAGCATAAGTGTGTCAGTGCTATATAGGGCAACGGATCACCCAGATCGCAAAATCGCAGAGTCTATTTTGATTAGAAAACGCAGACCGGAACTGAACTCGAATGTATCGTCTTGGCCTATTATGTAAGTGTATGGATGTGTGTCACTGGATGTACCTGTCTCGTTTATGTAGATGAGTGTTAGAATGCAGTGCGCCAATTTAGGATTTTGATTTGTATTTTCTAATGTAAGAAGTTTGTTAATTAGGCTTAACAAATTTCAGTTACTTGTATTCGTATGTCGACTAAAAGTTATCATGATTTGAAAAATGGATGTACTTTAGATTTAATTGCTCGTGATAACGAATAGTGAAATAGGAGATAAAGAAAGGAGCAGACAAGAAATGTATTCTTATTCTGTCTTTTGTTAACAATTCCGACGAAGATCTGTGATCGAAATATCAATATCAATATATCCTTTTTGCTAATTTATATTTTACGAGGAAAGGTCATAAATTCTTACTTACCCTACATGGCTGTTGTTGTTTTCGTCAGGCGTCCCAAGAGGCATACCCATAAAGAGCCGGAACATAACTCTGGAATTGAAAAAAAAAAAACAGTAGAAGTTAATGTAATTTATACACATATCACGATCCATGACTATGACATTGGTATGACCTTAAGGAGAATATGGCCTTCCTAATTAATTAAACCGGTAAAAAACGCCTTTTGAGCGAAGAGCGAGCGGGCGACAGAGTGAGCCCTGCACGTGCGGAAGTGCGAGAGGGTTCTTCCAACTGACTTGTGCACGGCACCCCCAATGACCGGTCTAGAGCATTGTGCCAAATTTGTGCGCAATCGCCCCAGCCGTTCTTAACCCGGCAGGCGGTGGGCCTCCCGGCCACCTTCCGCGCGGTGGGGGGCATTTTTTGCCCCCCCCCCGTATCTCCGAAACTACTGGACGGATCCGGAAAATTCAAACGGCGTTTGATAACCCTGTCAAATTTGTCGAGGGAAACCAAATTTCATTGACCTCGGGGTCACCGATGACGTCACAGGTCAGGTCAAAGATAAAATGTTTCACCGTTCACGGGGCTTCTAGGGAAAGTGCTATAACACCGAGTAAAACGCATTTTGTCGAAAATCAGCGGATAGGGCGTCAGTTGTCTAGTACATATGTTGCTATTTGAGGTCACTGGTCATACAAGGTCAGGTCACAGGTCAGGTCACCAAAGGTCACCTCCATAAGTGCTATTGCCCTCGGCTTCGCCTCGGGCAATAGCACTTGTTTCGGTCTTCACCCTCGGGCGACAGTGACGTCACATCGGGCAATATTTTTTGCTATTGCCCGCTCCCCCATGCAGTATTCGTATACTAGATATCGAGCTGGCGGGTCCCGGACGATGTACGCTGGCAGTTCTGCACGGTCCTAATGATAATAACCCAGGTTTCTACAGGTCAGTGTTTTCTTTAATAGGGTATATCGATAATAACAATGTTGTTATTGTAGGAGACTGGAATGTTACGTTAAATCCTAATGTGGACACTGAACACTATGTCTCTCAAGGTAACCGCCGGGCCAGGGAAGTGATTCTAGAGTTTATGGAGAAAGAGGGTATGGTTGATGTGTGGAGGGAGCAACACGCGACGAAAAGGTCGTATACTTGGAGGCGATCGTCCCCTCTCAGACTTGGAAGACTAGATTATTGTTTGGTCTCGTTAGCGGTGTCGAGACTGGTTTCCAGCTCATTTATTTTACCAGGTTACCGGTCTGATCACAGCCTGACTAGCATTGTTAATAAGTGAAGGAATGCAAAGTAAACGTGGACTCTATTGGAAGTTTAATAATTCGTTGCTGAAAGACTCCACCTACATTGACTTGGTGAATGCAGAGATTTTATAGATTAAAAGACAATATGCTTTTCCACTTTACACCAGCGATGAAGTTGAAGAGAGTAACGATATTGCATTAGTTATTGATGATCAACTCTTTTTTGAAGTCTTGCTATGCAAATTCGTGGCCTGACTATATCCTACGGTGCGCGGAAGAAACGGGAAAGAGATAGACGCGAGGAAGTACTGGCTCTTGAAAATGCAAGTATTGGAAGGCCTTTTCGGGGAAGGGGAGATCTATCGTGAACGTTTGGTTTGCGCACAGCAGGAGCTTTCAGACCTCCGACGGATAAAGCTGGCCGGTGCGGCGCAGCGGGCGTGTGTCCGCTGGGTACAGGAGGGAGAGTCTCCAACGAAGTATTTTTGCGGGCTGGAAAAGAGGCAGAGTGTTGCAAAATACATCCCTTGCTTAAATGTCGACGGTGAATTGGTAAACGATAATGTCAAAGTGCTAGACTGCATAGAGGCTCACTTTAGTAGCCTTTACAAGGCACGGGCACAAAAGAATATTAATCACTGTCAGAAAGAGATTGGTGATGACTATCCAAAATTGACCTCTGATGAATCTCGTACGTTAGAAGGCCTATTAACTCTAAAAGAAGCCACCCAAGCCTTACGCGAGTTACGAAATGATAAGTCTCCAGGGCCGGACGGGTTTAGTGTTAATTTTTTCAAGTTCTTCTGGAAGCAGATTAGCGGTTTTCTAGTTCGCTCATTGAACAGTGGTTACGACAAGAATCTTCTGTCGTGTTCCCAAAGACAGGGCATAATTACACTGATTCCAAAAGGAAAGAAGCCGAAAGAATTTATTAAAAATTGGCGACCTATTTCGCTTCTCAATACCTCTTTTAAGATACTATCCAGGGTGATTGCAAACCGGCTGCGATTGGTTATTGATAAATTGATAGGACAGGAGCAAAAGGGATTCATGAAAGGACGTTACATTGGTGAGTGTACACGAACTGTGTACGACGTAATGTGGGAGGCGAAACATTCCAAGAATTCAAGTACCCTAATGCTATTGTTGGCTGATTTTCAGAGCGCCTTCGACTCTCTAGATCATAAGTTCATTCAGGATGTCCCAAAGAAGTTCAGTTTTGGAGAAAGCTTCAGAAAATGGATCCGGGTAATGTTTACAGGGGCCGTATCGGCCGTTTGCCAAAATGGTACGTCGACTCAATTCTTTAACGTAGAACGGGGCTGTAGACAGGGTGACTGTTGCTCACCTTTAGTTTTCGTTTTGTGCGTTGAAATTTTAGCGATCATGGTGAGAAACAATCCGCAAATTAGAGGCTGGGTCAGGGACGGCAAAGAATGTAAAATTGAGCAATACGCCGATGACACGACTTTTATCTTAGATGGTACACGGGGAAGCCTGATTGCCTGCTTGACTACGCTACAAGCGTTTGGGGAGGTTTTAGGTCTTACTTTAAATGCTAAGAAAACTCAAGTGTTTTGGATGGGTTCCCGGCCGTCTCCCGCTTTTTTGGCCAACACAGACCTGTTGGTTGCTGCTGAAAAATTCACACTTCTTGGCATCGAGTTTACCAGAACAATGACAGACATGTCAGAACGTAATGTGAGAAGGAAGGTCGTTGACATTGCAAATCTTCTCAGAGGATGGCTGAGAAGGCGTTTATCTTTTTATGGGAAGCGCACGGTAGTAAAGACGCTGGCGTTGCCAATGTTGACGCACATCCTCAATGCACTGCCTTCTCCGCCGAAGTCGGTCTTCATGATTTCGAGGTGATGTTTTTCCGATTTATTTGGAACAACAAGCAGGATAAAATCAAACGCTCTGTTATGTATACCAGATTTAAAGTGCCAAATGTCACAATATATGATAGTGCTCTCAAGGTTATGTGGATTAAAAGAGCTGTAATGAAGAGCGATGTATTTTGGAACATACTTCTGAGTTCAGGGGAACTTAAGCTCAATGAAATGTTAGTACGGGCGATAGTAGTGCAAAATACTTTTTAAGCAGATCAAGAGATAACTGGGCAAGGAACTTATTTTAGCGAGATGTCTATCAATGTTGGGATGTTTTCAAGGCCAGTTGCGGACTTTTTGACACGGACGTTGATCCAATTCACCTAGGTACCAAGCTGCTGATTGGCGGTTTCCCATTCTGGAATAGAGCTTTATTTGAGGCCGGATGCAGGCAGTCCGTCCGTATATGCAGGCAGTCCGTATATATATATATATATATATATATATATATATATATATATATATATAATATATATATATATATATATATATATATATATATATATATATATATATATATATATATATATATATATATATATATATATATATATATATATATATATATATATAATATATATATATATATATATATATATATATATATATATATATATATATAATATATATATATATATATATATATATATATATATATATATATATATATATATATATATATATATATATATATATGGAGTTTGAGAAATCCGTGAGTTTGCAAACTCGGAGTTTTGCAAACTCCCTGACCCATCAGTGAGTTTGCAAAATCACTAGGGAGTTTACAAATTCACTAGGGAGTTTGCAAACTCACTGACCGGTCAGGGAGTTTGAGAAATTCCAGAGCGATTGGGCCAAATAAAAACAAGTGTGCAGCATGTGGGTGTCATACGCGCCGTCCGTGATGTTAAAACAAAGGCGGTTAGTTGTAGGGCCTTGTTATGTTCTGTTGCAAGGGCCTTTTCAGACCGAAAAAGATGGCCCCCAACAAAACAAACAATTTTCTCATTCAGTATTGTATCTCATCAAGCACCACTTGTTTTCAGAGTGTTTATTATGCGTTCCGTCCAAAAAAGTGCAGTTCAATTTTCTCCCATTGACTTGAGCCTTGAGCGATCTCAAAATTGACCCGGCCTCTCTGTCAACAATGTCAAACTTGCAAAGTAAACGTTTCAAATACATATAATGTTGCCCATTAGAATCGCTGAAAGTTCTGAAGCGATCGGTTAGTCGGTGTATTTAGATATGATGAGCACAGGAACTTTCCTTGAGGTAAGTTCACTTGACGTAACCTGATGTTATGACCTTGAATTGGGCGAATATGAATTGACTTGGGCGGGAAAAAATGGGTCATTTGAAATCTTAAAATGCTAGATTTTAACAAAAATTGCAAACACTATCCCGGCCAAATATTGAGTGAGAAGGGAGCGATTCCCCGACCCCATGTTTAGCTCCTATAATTGAGCTAGCTGCTAGAGCCTCGCGAAAAAAAGAGCGCTTGCGTCGTTACGTGACGCAGCGACTGGCACCTCATTTTAAAATATCAGTGACCTCTTAGGGCAGGTCAAGGGCCCCAAGGTATTTGATCGGTTCTTGGTATATAACTAAACGCATTTTCGTCATTTCGATACAATCGTGTTTTCTGTTCTCAGACGCGTCGATTTATATGCTTTTTTGTTTAGGTGAAGCAATTTAGGATGTCTACCTCAGGTCAATGTCATGTTAGGGCAACGCAGGTCACGAAGCTGTTGAAAGGAGGACATGCTGCATAACATTTGATTCGGCAAGTCTTGCAAAGTCCATTGATGGCTGTCCCAATGGCTAGCTCATTTTGATCGGAGTTATTGACGAAACACTCCTATGACCCTAGTGACGTCATAAATGACGTCACGCAAGGTGAATAATGCAAAAGTGAAGCATTAGACCTTGCCAA